GGTCATATCCCCACGGGTCACATGGGTGCACAGGTCGGGGTCTGTTCTGAGTTACTGCGTCGTAGACGTCCTGGACAAAGTTGTTTTTATTAGGCACTCTATCATTTGCAGGACTGGAGTGGGACAGAGGGCCCTGTCAGATAATTTTTTTAAAATATGAGGATGAAAAAGTGTGTTTTAACTTGTGAGTGTTTAGTTTTCCAGTGACAGGGAAAGGAAGTCCACACTTGTTATATGTAATCCCACAGGGCGGGGGGTCAGTTTTGTTTCCACATCCTCTCCCCTGGTCACGTTCCCACCCTGAAGTGCAGATTTGACCACATCACTTTGTTTAGCAATTTCCTGTGCCTTAGTTTTCTTTGGTCAGAGTTATTTGCATAGTCAAGAGAATGCACAAAGGCCTCTTTGTTGCTTGGTTAACAAAGTGAGGGTGGATAATATTATACCAAGGGGGAAGGATTCTATTGGAAGCCATGATAAAGCTGCCAGAGCTGGAATAAATGTTTTTGGTGTCAGAATTATTTTGATGCATCTGTCAGCTCACCTCCTGAAGTGTGGCACCCAGACTGCTGCTTCCCTTTCTGGGGCAGGGAACTTCTTTTCCTGGGGGGTTGGGATTTCACAGGCCCTAGAGCAGGATGCTGAAGGCACTCCACCTAGTTGGAGGCCTTGACAATGGGTTTCTTGAGGCCCCCTGGCTTGCAGGGGACGGAGAGGGATGGTGCCTTGCCCTCCTTACCCTCCATCAGTGTGTGAACAGAGGGAGGAGACGTGTGGGCTGGACCCATCCATGAGCCCCCAAAAGGTCTATGACTTACTTGTTAGAACCTGTGAATCTGGGGCCTTGCATGGCAAAGGGATTTTGCAGATGTGGTTCAGTTAAGAGCCTTGAGAGGGGCAGCCCAGTGTGCTAAACAGGGGTCCTTGACAGCGGAGGACGGAGGCAGGGCAGGGAGAGAGACTGAAATGGGTAGTGCTGCAGCTGATCCATCTCAAGAGAAAGGAGGGCCTGGGCTGGGGAGGCCAAGACCGCCCTTACCTCCTACGCCTTCAGGGGGATGCTGGGACACTTTCATCTCGCCCTGGGAAAGCCAGTGCAGAATTTTGACCACAGGGCAGTGTGCAGAGGCTCACGCCTATAATCCCAGCACTCTGGGAGGCTGAGCCAGGTGGATCCCTGGATCTCAGGAGTTAGAGACCAGCCTGAGCAAAAGTAATACCCTGTCTCTAAAAATAGCTGGGTGTTGTGGCGGGCACCTGTACTCCTTCCTACTTGGGAGGCTGAGGCAAGAGGATTGCTTGAGCTCAAAAGTTTGAGGGTTTTGTGAGCTATGATGCCACATGACACTATAGCACTCTACACAGGGCGACCAGAGTGAGACTCTGACTCAAAGCAAAACAATTCTGACCACAGAACAGCATTAGGAGACTAGAATGTCGTTCTGCCCCCTCAGCTGCCCTAACTTTTAGGACTGTAGCTTCCCAGTCCTTTTCTTTCTTTCTTTCTTTTTTTTTAGAGACAGAGTCTCACTTTCTTGCCCTCTGTAGAGGGCCATGTCAACACAGATCACAGCAACCTCCAGCTCCTGGGCTTAGGCAATTCTCTTGCCTCAGCCTCCCAAGCAGCTGGGACTACAGGCACCTGCCTATTTTTGGTTGTTGCAGTTTGGCCAGAGCCAGGTTTGAACCTGCCACCCTCGGTATATGGGGTCGCTGCCCTACTTCACTGAGCCACAGGTGCTGCCCAACTTCACAGTCTTTTTCTAAGGGGACTTGAGACCCTAATTTAGTAAATGCTTTTTTATTGTAGCCCCCCCTCTCCCTAATGCACCTCTAATCCTCCCACAAAGTCAGCTTAGTCCTTAGGGCCAGGGGACACCATTGGTGAGCTTACCCTGCTTTCTTCCTACCCCTCAAACCCCTAGTCGATGAAACTTAAGTGAGTATTAGGGGGAAAATTCATTAAACTGGTTCTTTACCTTTTGGGGGCCACTAAACCTCTTTGAGATTCTTTTGAAAACTATGGATCCTAACCCCAGAAAAATGCACATAAAATTTGCATTGCGGGATAATCTCCTCCTTCTTTGTGTGCTCTATGCTTATAAATTCACCTGCTCTCCAAATTTGTGTGTACCTCAAGATCAGTACTCATAGACCTGGACGGAGTGGTGAGGATCTGAGCCTCCTGGTGCACCTGCTGCCACCTGACCCGGACAGGGCAAAGCTGCACCCTGTGTTGTTGCGCACACGGTGACAGTTCTCATTTTCACGATTTAGTGCCATGTTTTTCACATATTTGTGCTTTTTTGTTGGTGGTTTTGCTGTTTAAAATGGCCCCCAAGCATGGAGCTATAGTGCTGGGCAGCCCTTGTCAGCACAGGAAGGCGCTGATGTCCCTTACAGAGAAAATACCATGTTGGATGAACTCTATTCAGGCTTGAGTCACAGCGCCACTGGCTGTGAATTCAATGTTATTCTCTCACTATGTACAGATGGTCCTGGACTCACTGTGGTGCAACACAGAGCTTTCTGGCTTTACGGTGGTGCAAAAGTGATACACGTGTGGCAGGAACTTTGAGTGTCTACACAGCCATTCTGTTTTTCACTTTCAGTAGAGTATTTAATAAATTACATGAAACATTCAATACTCTATTGTTGATTAGGCTTCGTGTTAGATGATTTTGCCCACGTGTGGGCTAATGTAAGTGCTCTGAGCATGTTTAAGGTAGGCGAGGCTAAGCTAGGATGTTCAGCAGGTTTCATGTAAGTGAACTTCAGACTTAGGATATTTTTTACTTACAAGGGGTTTATCGGGACATAACCCCATTATAAGTCAAGGGGCACTTAGGGAGTCGAGTAGACTGGAAATTCCTTTCTTTTGCTTGAGAGAAGGAGGCAGAGAAGGCAGCGGCTGCTCCTTTCCTTCCCTTCACAGCCCCGTGCCGGGGCTCCTTCCGGCCCCTGGGTTCTGGTCTTGGGGGCCTCAGCTCCTTGAGGGCTCTGCACTTGGAATTTGAGGGTTGGGTCTCTTGGATGGGGGTAGGGGGGAAGTCCATCTTTGTTTTTATAAATCCTAATTGAAATTTAGCACTTTTTTCAATTAGGAAGGCAGCCAACACAAACCAGTGCATGCTACATCTGACTTTGTCACCAAAGTGTGTTGGGCATAGCTCAGATGCTGTCACCAGTTGAAATGACAGATGTTTTCACACCACATTAGAGTTGTTGCAGATATCTCAAAATAGTGTTTATTCTTTTTGTTTTTTTGAGATGAGTCTCAAGCTGTTGCCCTGGGTAGAGGACTGTGGCATCATAGCTCACAGCAATCTCCAACTCTTGGGCTCAAGTGATCCTCTTTCTTCAGTTGTTCTATTTTTAGTAGAGACAGGCTCTCACTTTCTGCTCAGGCTGGTCTCGAAACCCTGAGTTCAAGCTGTCCACCCGCCTTGGTCCCCCAGAGTGCTAGGATTACAGGCATGAGCCACCATACCTGGCCAATAGTGTTCATTCTTGTCACTAGTTTGAAATTAATGTGGTTGGTAGACCCCACTAGATCTTGTTATTTAAGACACTAATAGTAAGGCACATATATTGCTATATTGTAATATTTTTTAAAAATCTGGATAACTGGATTTCAGTAAGATTAGTATCCTTTGTAATCCTATTATGTTGATTTTTATAGCTTTATAGCTTTATTGAGCATAATTCACATTCGATACACTTACAGATTAGCATGTCCGTGTTCTGTAGTATACACTCAGGGTCATGTAATCATCACCACAGTTTGAGTTAGAGCATTTTTGTCCCCCCGAAAAGAGACCCTGTACTTGTTAGCAATAGTCCACATTCCCCTGCTCCACTCTCAGCCCCTGGGAGCCACTGATATGCTTTCTGTCTCAATAAATTTGCCGGCTCGGCGCCTATAGCTCAACCGGCTAAGGCGCCAGCCACGTACACCTAAGGTGTCGGGTTCGAATCCCCAGCCCGGACCCGCCAAACAACGATGATGGCTGCAACCAAAAAATAGCCGGGCGTTGTGGCGGGTGCCTGTGGTCCCAGCTACTTGGGAGGCGGAGGCAGGAGACTCGCTTGAGCCCAGGAGTTGGAGGTTGCTGTGAGCTGTAATGCCACGGCACTCTGCCCAGGGGCACAGCTTGAGGCTCTGTCTCAAAAAAAAAAATAAAATAAAATAAATTTGCCTGTTCTGGACAGTTCACATCAATGGGATATTTATGAGCTCTTTTGTGACTGACTGTTTTTGTGTAGTGTACGTTTTCAAGGTTCATCCGTATTATAATTTGTTCTGTGCATTTGCATCATTATTGTGAGTAGGAATCCAAAGGCCTGCCCCTGTCCTGGCCAGAGGGACTTGTAGTGTCATTATAGAGGGGAGGACTCCCTCCATCTGAAGGTCCTTCTCTCTATCATTTTTGGTTTTGCACCAGGCTTGGGCATTAACAGTCACTGCAAGAAACTCAGTGGGCAAAGCTGGGCACTTGCCTCGGGGTTCGCTGCACTCAGGTCTCTGTTTCTGTCTGTCTCAGGTGGTAGCAGGTGCCTTGGGCGTGGCAGGCACCTCTAGGATAAAGCTTCCAGGGGGTGACGCTTAGAAAGGAAAATCCTCACAAACAGCTAACAATGGCTCTGTCCTGTTTCTGAGCCTGAAGAGGGTGATAAAGGGCCAGCCAAGCCCAAGGTGTCTGCTCTCAAACAGAGGCCAGAATCCCAGTGCCTCAGCCACTCTGGCACTGACCCCACACCCCCAGCCCCCAGGAAGCTGTTGGCACTTCCAGAGAGCAAGCTGTTCGTGGGAAGGGCTGAATCCCCGCAGCTCTGTGATTCGCGAATCCCAGAACCTCCACACTTGGTGTTGTGGGCCGAGCCTCTGCCTTTGTGTTTTCTTCTTCGAGTGGGTGGGGAGCCAGATTGGCAAAGCGGGTGTGAATGAGCAGGAGCCGGAGCCTGTCGCTGATGTCTTCTGTGGTGTGTTTCCCCCTCAGCTCCGGAAGAAAAGGAAGTCATTAAAGGACAGTATGGCAAGCTCACAGACGCTTACGGCTGCCTGGGGGAGCTCAGGTTAAAATCTGGTGAGTAGCCGCCGAGCCCCGGAGAGCAGCTGTCGGACCTGCTGCCACCATGGTCTGTCGGGGGGGAGGGGGGGCTGCGGGGCTCGCCGTCCTGTTTCCATGCTCTCTTCTTTTAGGATGTTTCTTTATACCCCGGAACCTGTTCCTCCCTGTGGGGGGATAGGAGGGCCTGGGGAGGTGTACCCTGGTTGTCACCTGTCTGTGTTGATGGGGGTAGGTGTGCCTTCTAGCCTGTGCCAGGTAAATTCACCTTCCTTGTTGCTAGTGTTTTCAGAGTCTGGGGTGGGGCTTCTGGCCAGGGCTGTTTGTAGAAGGTGTATTCAGGTGGGCAGATAGGGACGGGGACCAGAGCAGATGCCAGAGGCTCTGAGTCTGTGGACTCTCTGATGTATCTGGAGGGCAGAGTGGTGGGCTGGGAGTTATTGGCAGGAGAGAAAAGCCACCAATGTTCTGACTGTCAGACATTCCCTGGGGGGGTGTCAGGGAAAAGGACTCAGGACAAAAGAGGGCATAGCCTCTCTGTGTCCCCTGCTGTCCTGCACATTGGGAGCCCCAAGGGCCTGGGGTTCTGCAGTCACCACTGTTTCTTTCCTTCTGCCTTGGTCCCCTGTTCCCATGTGCCATCAGCCACCTGAATATGGAGACCTCAGTGACTTCTGGGGCCAGGATCAGAACACAGGCTTTGTCCTCGATTCTTGGTGGTGCCTGTCAAAACGGAACCGCTATGCGTTGTCCCTTTTCGGGCTTTTCCCGAGCTTGCTCGTCCCTTCCCTGCTCCCAGCAGCCCTTTCAGAGACTGAGGGTTGTTAAAGCCCCAAGAAAGCACTGTGGTGCTTGCCGCGACTTGTCTGGGTCCTTTCTGTCACAGGATACTTTCTCCTAAATAGTGGTCATTACACCGATCATTTCCAAGTAGTGTTTAGGAAAATTTCATAGCACCCACATGACAAAATGCACGTCTGAAATTTCTGTTGTGTGCCAAGGGCTACATAGACGTTAACTTTTTTTATCCTATAAATAAGCTAATGTGAAAATATGTCTTGTCCCTATTTACAGTCAAGGAAAAAAGCTCAGAGGGTCGAAGCAACTTGCCTAAGGTAAGAGGCTTAGCAAGAACTCAGACCCGGACCTAGCTGCCTCCAAACGGTGCATTTTCCATGTGAATCCTGCCTCGGGTTTCTGCAGGGCTTCTCCCTTGGCATGGTCTTTCTGAGGCTACACAAAATCCCCATGGCCCTTGCCCCTGGTGTGATGGTGGTGAGGACAGTGGCCTGCACTTGTGTGATAATCACTTTGTGCAGGGCACCACTTCATGTGTCTCATCTGTTACCTGGGGGGCCACCTGTCAGGTGGGTGCTGTTAACACTCTGCTTCACATATGCTGGTGAAGCTGAAGGGCTGAACTCACCTACTCTGAGACCCATTTGGGGGTCCTTGGCATCCTTACATTTAGAGTCTGCAGCTGGTTTTGCTACAATGAAGAATGACTCATTTTGCCCCTGACACTGTGGACTGGGATTCAGTAAAATTAGTTAACTGACCCAAGGTCATGCGGTTCTCAACCTGGGTCTCAAGTTCATGCCTAGTAGCACCAGGGACCACCTGCAGCCCCCAGGCTGCTCTCCCTTTTTGAAAGGGGCAGATAGCTGGGCTAATAAGGGGGTTGGGGAGAGCAGAACCTTCCCCCATCCCAGGGAACAATGTTTTTCCCTGGGCTGTGATCTAAGATCAGCTGTGGGGAATTGGTCCTAGCCCAGATGAGTGACAGCCCCCAAAGACATCTTGTCAGAGTAAGCCAGTTTATCTTCAGGGTTCCTGGTCCAAGGGCAGGGAGTGTGGAGAGAGGTGACTAACTCCTGGCACAGCCCTAGGAAGTCCTTCATCCCTCCCTTCAACCCATGTCCCCTTTGGTGAGCTGGTAGGGGCCGTTAGGCTCCTACCCCCATTCTGATGTCCTCTAACCTTGGCCCCTTCTACCAGAGTCACCTCCAGGGCCTGCTGGAAGCCTCCCTGAGTGAGGTGCAGCTAAATTTGACTTTTGGCCTATTATTTGGCCTATTGTCAGCACATTCTAGAAAGTGCTATAGGGCATCTGAAGAATGGAAGGATTGGGCCTTTAGATCACGTTTTTCAGATCCCTTGGGTTACATTGAAGGTCATTTGGCTTTAACTTGATTTTGTTTTCTCCCATAAGTCCCCTGAACTATGATCTGTTTAGTTTTTCACCTGTCAGCCTGCTGGGCAGCACAGTATAACTTCACAGAGTATAACTCCAGCTCTTAGTTGCTACCAAGATGACCACCCATGCCAGGAGCCGGCCTCCCTCTTGACTTTTTTTTTTTTTTTTTTTTTTTTTGCAGTTTTTGGCTGGGGCTAGGTTTGAACTCATCACTTCCAGCACATGGGGCCAGTGCCCTCCCCTTTGAGCCACAGGTGCTGCCCCCCTCTTGACTTTTTATTTTATTTTATTTATTTTTTGGCCGGGGCTGGGTATGAACCTGCCACCTCTGGCATATGGGGACAGTGCCCTACTCTTTGAGCCATAGGTACCGCCCCCCCCCCTTGACTTTTTAAGTTGAGGGTCTTCGTACAAAACAAGGTGCTTCTCCTCAGGCTCTTAATTTGGGACAAATTTTAATGCACTTCAATGAAAATAGCCTTTTGTGTTAAAAAATAAGAAACATGCACAAAACGTTCGTAACAGCTTTCTCCCAGGTTCCTAGGTTTTTGTGGAGAGCCCAGAGTCTTCCGTTTCTCCCTAAAAAGCCAGCAGGAAGGGGTTGGTGCCCCCATGATTAGCCAGGGAGTCTGGCTGCCCGTGGGGTTCCCAGCACACAGCATAGGAGGTGAGAACGCCCAAGAAGAGAACTCATCCCAGTGATTTCAGGAATTTATTTTATTTATTTACTTATTTATTTTGAGCCAGAGCCTCAAGCTGTCACCCTGGGTAGAGTGCTGTGGCATCGCAGCTCACAGCAACCTCCAACTCCTGGGCTTAAGTGATTCTCTTGCCTTGGCCTCCCAAGTAGCTGGGACTGCAGGCACCCACCACAACGCCCAGCTATTTTTTGGTTGTAGTTGTCATTGTTGTTTGGCAGGCCTGGGCTGGATTTGAACCCACCAGCTCTGGTGTATGTGGCTGGCACCTTAGATGCTTGAGCTATAGGCCCCGAGCTGATTTTAGGAATTTAGCTCCTCTCTAACCCAGGCTGTCAGGGCCGCCTCTGTTCAAACCCCAGACTATAATGGGTGAGTCTCTGAGACTGGGCAGTGGCCAACCAAGGCTGCACCTGCCAACCCTTGACTTCTCTGCCACACAGTCCTCCTGACAATAGTTCCAGCCTCACCGCAGAGCTCTATGCTCCCTTTCTCTCCCTGGGGCTGCGCTCCCACCATCAGACCAAGAAACTGCCTCATCTCTCCTACGTCCTTCTTGAGAGAGCTGCGCTAAGTGATCAGCACTGCTGCCTTGGAAGGCCAGGGGTGCACCTTGGACTCTAAGCAGCCTGGTCCTGGGTGGTTTGTTAGTGCAGGGCCTGGGGACAATGGCAGTCCTGAGGCCAAAGGGTGGAGCCTGCACTCCCCACCTGCACCTGGACATTGTTTTCTTTAGAACTGGGTGGTCTGTGTGACCGCAGAGGAACATGTGCCTCAGCTCAGGACAGTTGCAGGGAGCTACTGCCCCTGAGGGTCGAGCCCACCCCACATGACCCCAGCATACACCTCTCTTTGCCTGCATCCAGAATCTTACCCGTGCCTTGCTAGAGGAGGCAGCTCCTTCTGGGGTGCAGAGCAAGGACGCCATTTCAGAGTTGCTGTCAGCAGTACTGAAATAAGTCACATCAGTGACTGCGTAACTACGTACTTGTTTCCAAGTCAGGTAAAATCTGATTATTTACTTTCCCAAAACTGAAAAACTTAATTAGGATATCAGCTGACAGCATCAAGAGTAGTTTTGTCAATAGGCCATTGTGATTTTTTTATTTAGCACAGAAGGACTTGGACAAATTGTGTGGTATTTCTACATGAAGCTTTTCCTATTCCCACTTATTTATTAATGTGAACAGAGGTAGTTAGTGTTTACACCTAAGAAATAGAGGTAGAACTGGTGTTGAAATAACTTAGGGGACCTGGAAGAATAGAGTCGGACCCCCACTTAGGTTAATTAATTGGTAATTTATTTTACCTGCTGCAGGGGCTGCTGCTCCGAGAGACAGCCAGCACCTGGTGAGAGTGTGAGTTACCTTTTATAGCTTTGTGTAAGCATATTACAGAAGTGAAACGTGGCTGGTTAAGGGGGGTTACAACTCAGGTAGTCATAGATACAGCAATGGAACAATAATTAACACAGTTTCAGTTGACAATGGATACGTTTCATATCATAATGGTTATGGTTATACAACAGTAATTAATCAAGTCTCAGTGAGTTTTCCACCATTGTTCATCTACTGAGAACTTGGGGGTTTTGTGAAACTTGGGACTTTTTTTCCTTGTACCTGAAGCTTGTTCTTGGCAACCCTAGGGGGAAGAAGGGGGCCTGGGAACGTGGCTGGGAAGAATGTTCTTGGCCACCCTGGGGGGAGGAGGGACTTGCCTTGTTCCTGGAGTTGACTCTGGGGGGAGAAGGGAGGAGGAGGGAAATGGGCTGGAGAGGGTGGGGGGGAACAGGTGAGGATGGTGGGGGGGGAACAGGTGCAGGCTGGGGAATAGGAGTGGACAGGGGAAAGAGGGCTGGGTTACAACAGTGTAACACCTCACTTTCATTCTTTCAATAAATGGTATTTATTTCTCTCATTAAAAGATCCCTTTCTAATAAATTCTTCCTTGTGTTAGATGGTAACTTTTTCAAAATTTTTTTTTGTACCTTGTATGGTTTATATTGTTTGGCCAATTATACATATTCCAATGACAGCCCAAACCCAAGAAGTTTTTTTTTTTTTGCAGTTTGTGGCCGGGGCTGGGTTTGAACCCGTCACCTCCAGCATGTGGGGCTGGCACCGTACTCCTTTGTGCCACAGGAGCCTCCCTAAGAAGCTTTTTTTTGAGATAGGGTCTCGCTTTGTCACCTAGGCTAGGGTGCAGTGACATCATCACAGCTCCCTGCAACCTCAGACACCTTTGCTCAAAGGATCCTCCTGCCTCAGCCTCCTGAGTAGCCGGGACTGCAGGTGCCCACCACCATGCACAGCTAACTTCTATTTTTGGTAGAGACGGGGTCTCACTCTTGCTCAGGCTGATCTCGAACTCCTGAGCTAAGTGATCCAGCCACCTCAGCCTCCCAGAGTGTTGGGATTATAGGCCTGAGCCACTTACATTACAGTCCGCAGCCCAGAAGGAAAACTTTGTAAACATTTGCATTTAGGAGCAAACTGAGGCACAGTGAACTAGGGTGGTCTGTAGAAGATGTTGAAGCACAAAGTAGATTACATTAAGGATGCCAATCTGAGGGGGAAGTAGAATGGAAATACGAGTGAAAATGCCATCCCTTAAAGAAGAGCTGGCTGGTGTATTCCTTTAAGTGACAGATGATGATGAGTATCAAATCACTGTGGAGATCTGCTGGGTATTGTTAAAGAGACCCACCACAGTTTTGTATGTCAGTATTTAGAATATGCTACAAAATGTATTATTTACAGTTATTTAAACTGATGATGAAGATGTTCCATATTGGTTTTAAACAAGCAGGCAATGCTGTCTCAGTCCATCCATCTGGGCTGTTGTGACGAAGCACCTTAGACTGGGTGGCTTACAAGCAATAGGAGTTCATTTCTCACGTTTCTGCAGGCTGGAAGTCTGAGATCAAGGCACCAGCAGATTTGGTATCTAATGAAAGGGGCTCTGCTTCTCAGTCCCTATGTCCTTAAGTGCAGAAGGGATAAGGAAGCTAACTTGTGCCTCTTTCCTCAGGGCACTAATCCCATCCAAGAGAGCCCCATCCTCCTGACCTAATCACCTCCCAAAGGCCTCACCTCTTAATATCATTGCCTTGGGGGTAAGGATCCCAGCATAGACATTTGGGGGGGGGGGTGGCACACAGATCCAGTCAAAAGCAGGTTCTTGGTTGACCACATTCTTATAAAGGATCTTTTAAAGACAATCCAGCCTGATTGGAAACTGTTGGACTTTAGAGTCAGGCAGAATACAGGCTTAAGGTGGAACCCATGTTTGTGTCCCAGGTCCCACAAAGAGTAGCAATGTGCTTGGGCTGGTGATTCAGCTCCCCTGGGGGATAGCCCCTTGCATGTAACATGGCCATAGCCCTGGTGGTATAGCCAGAAAGTGGATTTGGGTCCCAGCTCCCCCCCTACTCTGTTACCTGGGACAGGCCACTTGCTCTCTCTGTGCCTCCGGTCCTCTCCCTATAAGATGAGCTGGTGATACTCCCTGGGATGTTAGGAGGGTTAAGTGGAACCTGTTCTGTGCATAGGGCAGGCAGTGCTGGCATGAGTGGGCCCAGGTGTTCCTAAAGCCTCGCTGTACCACCTACAGGTGCCAGCTCCTTGTACCCTAGAGCCCCTTCCCTTACTCTCAGGAGCCTAGATGTCTTCCCACCTGCTACAGCCTACCCTTCTCCTCCAAGTCTTCCCCCTTCCCACTGTCCTACCCAGGAAATGCCACTGCCTTCACAGTAGCCTGGGATTCCTGCCAGGGACACAGCCCCCATGCAGAGGCTTTGAGGGAGTGTGCTAGAAATCAGCTTCATGACTTGGTGGAGTGACATGAGGCAAAATTTTCCATACCTTTTCTGGAACCCACTCCTGGCCCAGGCCACCGAGGCTGTCCCCTGTCCCTCCAGTGGCATGTTACTGGGCACTACACTTACCTGCGCTGGGCCATGGGGAGGCAGGAACATGCTAGATGCCTGCCCTTTGAGGCCTGGCTCCTGGATGTCCACCCCACCTGAGCCCGTGGGACCCAGGCAGAGGGTAGGCAGACTGCGGAGCCAGAGGACCTGGGGGGAGCTTCTACTCAGTTCTGTGGGCAAGTAGGAGCCATGGAGGGATGTAGGCTGGAGAGGGCTATGATCAGATGTGTTTGGGAAGGTCACTACTGTCATAGAGCTGGGAGGATAGACTCTAGGCCATGACCAAAGAGTTAGTGGGAAGTTGGGAGGCTTGGTGACAGGAATATGAAGAGGGCTTTCCCACCCAACAGTTGAGCAGGGCCAAGAATCTGCATTTCTGAGCTCCTTGTGGGCAGTGCTGGATCTGCTGGTTGGAGGACCACACTCTGAGAAGTCCCACATTAGGCTTAGTTGACAGGCCAGATTCTTAAGCCACTGAGTATGGAGGTACTGGGGATGGAGCACATCCCAAGAAGTCACCTTCCCAGCTGCAGTGGAAATGGGCTCTGCCTTCTCTACCCCGTCACCCGTCAAGCTGGTTGGTGGCCACACTGACTGACCTTTAGCTCTTGCATCCAATTTCCCTTCTAGGTGGCACTTCCCTGAGCTTCCTGGTATTGGTGACAGGCTGCACATCTGTGGGCAGAATTCCAGATGCCGAAATCTACAAAATCACCGCAACCGATTTTTACCCTCTTCAGGGAGAGACCAAGGAGGAGGAGCGCCTCACAGCCTTGAAGAAAATCCTCAATTCGGGGGTGTTCTATTTCTCGTGGCCCAACGATGGGTGCCATTTCGACTTGACTGTTCGGACACAGAAGCAGGGTGATGATAGCTCGGAGTGGGGGAGTTCCTTCTTCTGGTGAGATCCCTGTGTGCCCTACTCCTCCCCCAGGTCCCATGGGGTACGGGCCCTGGGTGGCAGCTCAGTGCCTGGTCCCCACATTATTGGACAGTGGTGACCTATGCCTGTGGGCTGAACACAGTGAGCAAAAAGAAAACCGGCCCCAACCCTTCACCCATGGGCTCGGGATATGCTCAGAGGAGTCTGATGCAGATTTAGTCAACAAGAGCAGCCTACAAGGAAAGTGAGTGACAGTGGTACCTGCAGGTGTCAGCCCAGACGCCTCCTGGTTTTCTCAGCAATCTTGGTTACTCTCAGGACACAGCTATTCACCACCATGCCCACAGAGCACCCATCATGGTCCTAGGCTCTCCTGGGGAACACACTCGTGATCCTCATCGTAATTCTATTATCCCATTTTACAGAGGGGGAAACTGGGGCATGAACAAGGGAGTTGGAATTTTGCAACATTCTGCACACCTAGTAAGTGGCAGAGCCAGTATTTGAACCCAGGCATTCTGGCACCAGATCCTAAACTGGTGATCACAAGCTAAACCAGCCCCGACAACAGGCAAGTGGAATCAGCTTGCCCACAGTGACTTGTAGTAACATGCTAAGCCCCAAAGCCCAGGCAAACGTGGCTGTTTTCTGTATATTTAGGATCATCTGAGTAAGGGCAGAGCAAAGAATTATTTACTGGCCTCTCTGGGCCCCGGGCTCAGGACCTGGCGAAGTATTGTAGGTCAGGTGGTGGTGACTACACACACACGGTGTCCTGGCCTGGCTGTCAGCAGTGCTGTGCCCTCAGGTGCTCAGGGATGCCTGAGAAGCTGGGCAGAAGCAGAGGAGTGAAAACCCTGCCAGGGGATGGGGGGGGGGGGATTGTTCCAATAGGCCTCACGGGATGTGATGGTTTAGGGTTCCAGTGTCTGCCTTTTGGGCTACGTCAGTTTTCCCAGTCCTGAGATGGAATTGGTGAGGCTTATTTCTGGCCTTTATCTGTTTCTTCCTCCCTGCACCCAAACAGAAGTGGTCACTGATTTCGTTTGGGGACTGAGTGTTCTTTTCTTGCTGTTTCTGAGCCCCTTTCAAGTGAATGCTGACTTCATTTGGAGGGAAAGAGACCCCATGTCCCTTTGTACCCCCCAGTGACCTCAGCCTCAGATTCTCCTCCTCTGATATTGCTGACTTTGGGGGGGGAATAATGTGCTCAGGCTAAAAAATCCACGTGAATCTTGCCGATTTTATTAAATGCAGATTCTGATATAGCAGGTCTGGGCTGGGCTCAAGATGCTGCCGCTGCCCACACTGCCGGTCTGCAGTCCGCACACTGAGTAGTGGGCTCCAGGGGGGCGAGTCTGAGAGCCCCACAGGCTGCTATACCTGCCGCTCAAGGCAGCTGGGCTTAGGTGGGGAGGGGCTGTACGTTGTGAGGTGTGTTTATGTGGACCTGGTAAAACCATTTTAAACCAGACTGTCCAGCGGGTGAGCAGAGGCTAGAGCCATCGGCAGCAGTGACATTCCTAGGGTGTCTGGATTGCCCAAGCACCTTTGTGACTGCCTTCCCTCTGTGGTGAGTGGGAGATGTGAGGGCCCAAACAGTATGGCAAAGAGGAGAGTCACAAGGGGGAGGCTGAGAGGGACTTGGGAAGAGGCCGGAGTATCCCCTTCTGGAGTGGACATCAGACTGTCTTCCGTTGGAAGGAGGAAGTAACCTCAGTGGGTGCCAGGCTGCTCTGCAGCACCACACCGCAGGGCAGGGTGTAGGGGCTCAGGGTAGAACGCCTAGAGCTGACCGCAATTGAATCACCCCAGCAGAGTGGTCGCAGGCTAGAGTGCCTGAGCCTGCTATGTTGTGGTCTAGCATTTGGGGTCTGCAGACCTACAGTGAGGTTGGGTTGGGGTCAACAATGACAATAGCCAGTAAATTAGGGAGAATGAAGGAAGGACAGGGTAAAGTCTCCTGCCCAGGCTGATCACGATGACAATTGAGGCAACTCAATTCTAGGAGGCAACTCAAAGCTATTTTCCTTTATAGATTTGAGAACTTATTTTTCTTCAGATTAATGTAGATTTGGGAATCTTCTTTCTGGGATATGAGACAGCTTTCCTAAGACAGGCACGTGTCACTAGAAATTCACCTTCGTTGAGGGTTGTCCACTTGGCAAAAGGTTTCCTCCTGACTCCTGGTGACATAAGCCGTAGCTCTAGGGCTGGCAGATTGGAACATTCTGGAGGCTTTGCCTTGATGCCATGTGCAGATCTGATCCATGTGAGCCTGCAGCTGGTTCAGCTGAGTGAGGGTGACTCAGAAGAAGGGCATGTCTGTGTGAGGCAGTGCACTGCGGTCACCTCTTCCAGCACAGCAGACCTGTGGCTGTGTATATGAGCTCACACAGGGTTAGGCATCGGCTGTGGTCCCTGCCGGGGTGCAAGTGGCTGTGCTCACAGTGGGGGAGGCTGGCCTGAGAGCAGGGAGCTCAGAGCGGGTCCTGGGGGTGTCAGAGCTCGCAGTGCAGATTCCCAGGAGTGAGAAATGCTGCTATCTTTGAGGCCAGCTCAAGGGAAGGAATCAGGTTGCCTTTTTTAAACAAGTAGGGCATCGTGATCTAGATTCACTCGCGAGTCTCCTGGTGACAGTTCCTGCCTCCCTAGGAGCAGGTTACAGGCTTCAGAGAGGCACCACTCAGGTCTCCTGGGAAGTGGGGAGGCCAAGCAAGGAGCAGTGAGAGAATGAGGCTGCGGCTCGCAGGCGCGGGGGGAACGTGGGGTCCTCACCAGTGTGGGTCTGGCTGAAAGTGCAGCTCTGAGCTCCACACTGCCTCGGGCTGGCTTCACGACCAGTTTCTTCATTTCTCTTTGCCTCAGTTTCTTTATAAAATGGGGCTACTGATAACACCTTTCACAAATGTCATATCAAGGGTGAGGTGAGCGAACCAGTCCCAGAACCTTGAGCACTGAGCATGGGATGTTCGAACTTCCCTTCACGTATTTTCATCTCGTCCTTTTTCATTTATTTTGGATTGCTTTGGAATGCTCTTACTGCGTGCATCTCCCGGCGGGGGTGCATGGATGTATATAATTTAAATAAGTGTGCTGTGTTTAATATGATTCTTTTTATAATTTGTCATTTTATTACTATCATTACTTAATCATAAAACATGATTACGTTTTTTACTAATGGGGGCCTATGATAAAAGAAGGTGGCAGCCACGGCTGCGTGGTGGGCTCACTGTCCAGTCTTCCTTCCCTTTGCCCACAGGGACAAGTTGGTGTAGTCTCAGGAAAGCACTCTTGGCCCCTTCCTCCTGTCCATGGCACAGTGGCCCGACTATTTGTGCTACTCTCAAAAGCACATGAACTTCCCAGATCTGTACCTCCTGAGTGCAGGGCCCGTGGGTGGCTCTGCCCGGTTCTGACCAGGACTCCAGCCCCCTCGGGAGCCTCACTAGCACTTGCTTTGGGTGCAGCGCTTGCCGGAGGATGGAAGGTGACCTGAATCAGTGTGTGCCTCCATTTTGCAGGAACCAGCTGTTGCATGTGCCCCTGAGGCAGCACCAGGTGAGCTGCTGTGACTGGCTGCTGAAGGTCATCTGCGGGGTGGTGGCCATCCGCACAGTGTACGCCTCTCACAAGCAGGCCAAGGCCTGCCTCATCTCCCGTATCAGCTGCGAGCGCGCGGGTGCACGCTTCCACACCCGGGGCGTGAACGATGATGGCCATGTGTCCAACTTCGTGGAGACAGAGCAGGTCAGTGTCCAGGCCCACCCATGGGCCACGCGGTTCAGAGTGGCTACAGCCCTTACATGCAGTCTTCCCACCTGGGCGGTCAAGGCCCTGGTGTATCTGTGGTGGTTTCTGGTCATGCCACCTTCCTTAAGGAGAGGACAGCATGTGTCACTGGGGCTCTGTGTGTAGACGTGGCTTCTGGTCTGCATTGTACATCATTTTTGCTTCATGCCTCGTGCTGGGAAATGCTGCTTACCTGAGGTATTTTTAACTAAAAGGAATCAGGAATTTTTGCCGTGGTCATTCTGAGAGCAGCTGACAGGTGAACCAACAGGACTTGAAAATCTTTTCAGGGCAAAAATAAGTAGATCAATACAATGGGAGGATGAGGGAAGACATCATAGTTTTTATCCTAAATCAACTGAAGCTTCACCCTTTGAGTATTAGTACCTGGTGACTGTGAGATCTGCGTGTTAAGCAGCAGTTACTGTCAGCTCTCCTACAAAACAGCCGTCTGCTTAATTTCTTGTTGATGTTTTTTTCCTAAATTTTGTGCTTATTCCCAGAGATGCTATCTTACAACTGGTTTTTAAAGTTTTCTTGTTTTACCGTGCAATCTGAGATCGGGCCACTGTGTAGAAGAGTAGTACAATAAACCATAAGAAAGGATGAGGAGGAAAAGCCCTGGACGGGCACGGGGGCAGCGCTGCTGTCGGAGGTGAGCTCCAGGCACCCTGTGTTTGCTCCTGCAGGTGTGGCCCTGCCTCCCTCCTCCCTGCCACCTGCCGCCACTGTGGGAGGCCTCCCTTAGGAGGACTTTGGCCACTTTAATCCAGCATACTTGTGCACATCTGCCTCCACCAGCTGGGAGCTCCTGCCTGCTGGGGATATCCAGAGTGGGGGTGTGTGTAGAAAGATGAGAAGGCTGCCCCCTTAGAATAGGACAGGGGCCCTGATAGGAGCTGCTGATGCAAATACTTGCCTGTAATTCTGGCCACAGTGTCCACTGTCCTGGATATAGATGAGGCTGTTAAATAAATGTCCATTTAAAAATGAAAGAGAGAAGGCTGAGTGAGGTGGCTCATGCCTATAATCCTAACATTCTGGGAGGCCCAGGCAAGAGAATCACTTGAGCTCAGGAATTAGAGACCAGCCTGAGCAAGAGCGAGACCCCATCTCTACTAAAAGTAGAAAAAAATTAGCTGGGTGTGGTGGTAAGTACTTGTAGTCCCAGCTACTAAGGAGGCTGAGACAGGAGGACCACTTGAGCCTAGGAGTTTGAGGTTGCGGTGAGCTAGGCTAAAGTCACAGCATTCTACCCGGGTGACAGAGTGAGACTCTGTCTCAAGAAACAGTGAGGGAGGGGGAGCCATGCCCTCCCTTCCCACTCTGTCTGCACAGTGACATCCTTCCCTTTGCTCTCAGACCTCAGTTCATCGCCACTTTTCCATCCTCATTTCTGTCCCTATGTTATTAGCCTGAGATCTTTGCTTCACTCAGCAAATCTTTATCACTTATTACCTGCCATGGGCTGGGAGCTATGCTGGGAACAGGGACCAGGGGACCAGAAGTGCAGAGCATGTTGGCACCAAACAGAGGGCTGGAGGGGGCCCCTGGCCTTGGTGATGGAACCAACTTCAAGAGGCCCTCACTGGACCTTAGAGTGAGGCCTGGGCCTCCATCTCTGCCTCTTTCCTCATCCATCCCTGGTCCTGGAGTTGGTTGTCCCTAGATATTTGGACTTCAACTAATATAAAAAAAGTTGTAGTCTCATCTACTGTGCAATATTTAGTAAGTCCTTGGGGAAACAGCTATCCTTCACCATCACCATCCTTTCCTATGAGACAGGGCAGTTTAACACTGAAGATAAAAGGGGGCTCCCTAATAAAGTGCCCAAATGGTGGCTTCGGACCACAGGTACTTATTCTCTCATGGTTCCAGAGGCAGGAAGCCTGTAGACGAGGTGTGGGCAGGGTGGTGGTCTGCTCTGAGCCTGCAGGTGGTGGGTCCTTCCTCACCTCTTCCAGGTCCTGGTGGCCCCAGCATGGCTCCTATCTCTGTGTCTGTCTGTGTTTGGCTGCCTCCCCCTGATCCAAGTGCCCTCCCTACTCAGGTGTGGCCTCACCTTAACTAATTACATCTATAAGGACCCTGTTTTCACACATGGTCACATTCTAAAGTACTGAGGGTCAACACATCCTTTTGGGAAGGGACACAACTGAACCCACAATAAAGGCATGTCAGGGGACTGTGCTCTGTGTGCGGTGTGTCAGGCTTTATGAAGAGTCTTTTTCTGCAGCTCAGTGAGTGTTACCATGATCCAAATGGGGCCTTCCTATTAATCTGCACCTAGGCCTGTGCTGGTTTCCTATGCTCTGGTCTTACCTGCTTGGGCCCCGCAGCCTTGAGCAGCCCATGGGCCTTAGAAGTGTGAACCTCCTGCCCATCTGGCTCCAGGGATCCCCACTGCTGTTTGAATTTCCTCCCCTGCTTCCTCCTCAGCCTGGGGGAGGGATTTCTTAGCTCCCATAAGCTTTTGTGGTCTTCCTAGGGTGTGTTTTTTATCCCATTTTCCTCCTCTCGGCCCTGGGCCCTGGGCCCTGGGCCAGGCAGCACTGCCCTCTTTGAAGTCCCCACTCAATCTCGCTCCCAGGGGCCACAGCAGTTGAGTCAGTTGGACATCACCATCTGTCCACCCAGAAATGCAGGCAGCCACAGATGCCATCCTCCATCTTGACCTGGGGAGTGTAACTTAACCCATGGTGATTTCATTTCCACTGGTTCTGTAGTAGGACATACTGGGCATGGCCTGGCACCCGGGGCAGTGTATGTCAGGCTGCTAGTGAGACACGTGGGGTGGGGACCCAGGTCAGGCCATGCCATCAGAGCCCCCAGACAGTCTGATACTGAAGGGGAGGTAAGTGTCACTTCTGCAGCAGAATCTACTGGGAGCCTTCCCAGCAAATTGGGAGTACAGGTGATGCCTCAGAAGCAAGAGGGCAGGGTGGCCTGGCAGGTGACTTTGCCCTTCCAGGTGGTACTCAGCTGCAACTCTTGCCTGGAGGGCTATGGAAGCATAGCAGATCCAGGCAGTAGAGGCCCAGCCTGGTGGCCTCCTGGGCAAGGTGGGGCTGCAGAGCAAGGACACAGAAGACCTGGAGGCCGACAGTGGAGGCTGTGCCTCCTAGAGCCTGTGGTCCAGGCACGCCCACACTCACGGTCAGGCAAGGTCCTAATGGTAGTTGGCATCCCGAACTGGAATGACAGAAGCCCGGTGTGACAGTATAGGGGCAGGAGGAACAGAGGGAAGTGACTATCCCCAAAGGATCAAGAGACTCATGTTGCCGCCCCCCCCCCCCACACACACACATATCAAGAGGGCCAGTTTCTCTCCATCTCTCAGGTCACCACATGGGATAGAGGTGCCAAGGTTGATCAGAGTTATTTAGGTTTTTTTAAACACAAAAACTTGTAAGTAGAATACGAATGTCTGGTGTTCTTGCTGAGTGGCAGCCAGCCCCTACCTGGCTCTCCAGCCACCTGCAAGAGTGTCTTGTGCCCACTGAGGTTTACCCACTCAGGACTTCATTGATCTGGTGGGATTCTGCACAGGTCGCTCCCGGGAACCTGGCATGTCCTACTCTCTTGAGTTTGCAGTGTGGCTTTGCTTATGTTGAAGAGCATATTGCGGCTCAGCGCCTGTGGCTCAACTGGCTAAGGCGCCAGCCACATACACCTAAGGTGGCGGGTTCAAATCCCCAGCCCGGGCCCGCCAAACAACAATGATGGCTGCAACC